TTGGCCACGCAGGAGCTTGTGCCAACCAAGCTTCTGAAACTGCTGTTGCAAAGAATCAAGCCTTGAAGGAAGCTGGTGTGTTTGTTCCCCGGAGTTTTGACGAGCTGGGAGAGGTCATTCAGTAAGTCACGTTAACAGGGCGCCTTCAGCAGGGGACAAAAAGTGTTAGGGCACTGATTCTTGCCTGATAAAGGAATATATTCCTGCTTAAGGAAAGCAACTTCTATTGGTTCTGGGTTTTCAAAGTCTAGATTAAGATTCCCTCACTTTTACCTCTTAAAAGGACTTAACTTAATACATGGATTTTCTCCCTAGGTCTGTCTACCAGGATCTTGTGGCCAAAAGAGTGATTGAACCAGCTGAAGAAGTGCCTCCTCCAACTGTGCCAATGGATTACTCCTGGGCAAGGGTGAGCTGTGCTGTTTTACCTGCTTTTTGGTTCCTTAGAAACTAGACAGGATGTTGGCTGTGATTCTGGATGTTTATGGTGATAATGGGGCCTTTAGGGTCTTATCTCGCATTTTACAGTGTTACCTGTGAGCTCACTGGCTACGCTGGTTCTACGCTGTGGAAGCTGCTCTGAGGGCAAGCTTAAGGCACTGGGTTTTGACCACTCTGCCTCCTATTGTCCCTTGCTTCTAGTATGGAATGTTTAAAATTCCATTTTTATGCTGCAATTTCAGGAGCTGGGTCTGATCCGCAAACCGGCTTCCTTTATGACAAGCATTTGTGATGAGAGAGGTCAGGAACTGATTTATGCTGGGATGCCAATCACTGAGGTCTTCAAAGAAGAGATGGGGATTGGAGGGGTTCTGGGCCTGCTCTGGTTTCAAAGGAGGTGAGGCAGCTTTTTTGTGAAAGCTCCCAAATTCTTTGGCTTGTAGTTTTCCTTGTTTATTAGTAGGCTTTTTTAAGCACAAAAGTAACTCCAGGATCCCTCTGTGAACATAGATTCATTGGAAATGCCATCTCTATATCCCTTCCTCAGACCACATCAGCATTTCAAGGCTTCATACAGTATGTTTTAGCCTTGGGATGAAGTGTTCCACAAGTTTCATGGTGCATTGAGGAAATTTCTCTGTTCTAGGCCTGTTTCACACTCTCTGACTCCTTGCTTATTCTAATTGTCAGCTCAACTCTGGAGAGATTGGGGAGTTTACAAACATTTGCTAACCAGCCTACAGGGAACCTTCTGAATGGCAGAAGTTTGCTGCCTTCATCTGGTCATGCTTTCATTAGTGTGGCACTCTTGGCACTAGCTGGAATCTCTGGCTCAGCAGAACAAGATGAACAGAGCTGTAGCATGGCCTCGTGGCTCCCCTCAAGGGACCCACAAAGCTTACTGATCAGTCAGCTGAGTGTGCACAAACTCTGCCTACAAAACTGATCCTCAGCTCTGAGCTAAACAGCTCCTGTGGAAACTGAATAAAAATCTGATTTCTGAGAAAGATATTAGGATGCACTCATGGGTATTGTGACCCTACAGCTCCCTTTCTCTGTGCTACTTTTCAAGTGTACACCTAAAACAAAAGTCACTGGCCAGTGTAACACCAAGTGTCTTGGTGTTTTCTTTACAATAAATGACTTCAGTCTTTTCCCTGCTCAGGTTACCAAAGTATGCCTGCCAGTTCATTGAGATGTGTTTGATGGTAACAGCAGATCATGGGCCTGCTGTTTCTGGAGCCCACAACACCATTGTCTGTGCAAGAGCTGGAAAAGATCTTGTCTCGAGTCTCACTTCAGGCCTTCTTACTATTGTAAGTACTTAATCTCCAGAAGGTTTAGATTTGCTACCCATTACTCTGTCCAGGTTTTATTACTATTAACTTCAGATGTAGATTGGCTGCAGAGCTGTGGACAGGTCGTGTCTGTTCACTTGCACTTTGAATTTCTGTTGAATTCAACTCTAATAGCTTGATGCTCTAGGTTTAAAATGAGTCCATTTTTCTAGTAAGAAAGGCTATTTTGATGTCTCTCGTTTGAGTCTAGAAATACTTTGTAGAGGCCAAACTGCTGTCAGCATTGTCCCTATATGGTTGCCTAATCTCTTCCAACACTGACAAGTAAAAATGTGAATAAAATGGACTTTAGATTACCTTTCCCCCCTCAGTCTCTAGTGGAGATGCGTTGGCTACATATTGACACTTGTGTTGAGTTATAAACAGATGCTTTATCTCGGGTGCCTACCTGACTTAATTTCATGAATGCCACATTGATAAGCAGGGCAGATGGAGAAGATAATCTTGGGCTTGTTTTGCACGTTAACTGTGGAGTCCTTTGCTATAACTCCATTTGCATATTGTACCCAGGGTGACCGGTTTGGTGGAGCACTGGATGCTGCAGCTAAAATGTTCAGCAAAGCCTTTGACAGTGGAATTATCCCTATGGAATTTGTGAACAAGATGAAGAAAGAAGGGAAACTGATCATGGGCATTGGACACAGAGTCAAATCGGTAAGAAAAGTGTCCAAACTAGAGGTTGGTTTGGTCTTTTGAGAGGGACGGGGGAGAGGGGGAAAAAAAAAAATGAAGGAAAGAAAACTAGCAACTTTCAGAGGCAGCTATTGACCAAATTCTCAGGACTTAAATCCTAAGCCTACAAATAGTAAAGCTTATGGCAAGTACCAAAGCAAGAGGCAACATCAGTGACTGTAATGTGTTCTTAACTTGCAGATAAATAACCCAGACATGAGAGTTCAGATTCTCAAAGACTACGTGAAGCAGCATTTCCCTGCCACCCCACTGTTGGACTATGCACTTGAAGTAGAAAAAATTACGACTTCCAAGGTGAAATGTGCTAGTATTTTTCTGCCCTTGAGCACTTTTTCTTACTGGGGGACGAGTGACGTGGGGATAATACTGTATTTTAATTGCAATGCTTCATGAATTGTTGCTGGGGTTTTGTTTTTCTACGGTAGACTTCGGGCCAAGTACAACTACCATTTGGTAAGGCTGAAGACATTTGTTGGACACTGGGAAAATGCTGAACAAACCAAACCCCATTATCTGTGTTGTCCACAGTCTATCTGGAGCTGCTGTATTCTTTGAAACTGAGGCAGAGCTAGCACATGTGATGGGCTGTGGCAGATAAATCACTGTGGCTTGAACCAAATGCAGGCCCATTGTTTGGGGCTGTTTTTCCATCATTTGCATTAAGCATGGCTCTTGCTCAAGTTGCTGAACAGCCTTCTCTATCGCTAGGCTTGTGTGCTCACAATTATGGGCAGCCCTCAAATTACCCTTGGGGATGGAAGCTGCCAGGTGAACATCACTTGCCACTGTTAACATCTTTATTGGGGTGTACTTTCCTTTGCTGCAGAAACCAAATCTTATCCTGAATGTAGATGGCTTTATTGGAGTTGCCTTTGTTGACGTACTCAGGAATTGTGGCTCGTTCACACGGTAAGTAGGTAGTGGGCTGTTTCTCTTGGGTTATGGTTCTATAAAAATGATGGGAGCTGCACTGCCAGCTCATGTGGGGCCAGGATTTCAAAAGGATATTGTGAAGGAAATGTAGCCTGGACTTGGGGGAAGGAAGCCTTCACGTGAATTTGGTGTTGCTACTGGCACTAGAGCAGACTCACAGCCTTTCTGAGATTGAGTCCTTAAATATATCACTAGGACGAACTATTTCTTTTCTCTTGCAGGGAAGAAGCAGATGAGTATATTGATATAGGAGCTCTTAATGGCATCTTTGTACTAGGCAGGAGTATGGGATTCATTGGTAAGTCTGCCTCTTCCCTCCTACTAGGGGGTGCCCTGCCACCGTGAACATGAGACAAGTCTAAAATGCTAGTTGTAAGAATGCAGGAACCCAAGTTCCTTCAAGGCAAGGAAAGGCTAGGCAGAGGAGCAGAAATTTTGTAACATCAACCACTTTTGTTGCAGGACACTACCTGGATCAGAAGAGATTGAAGCAAGGCCTGTACCGTCACCCGTGGGATGACATATCCTATGTTTTACCAGAGCACATGACTATGTGAGAACCTGTAGTATTGCCTCGGAATGTCACTTCAAGAAGACAGAAGCCTGCACAGAGGACAGCCACAAATGGGACTTTGCTGTATAAAGGCCATTGGTACATAGACATTGAGCTGCCTGGTCAAACTGTGCAAAGCAGCTGTTTTACAAGAATAGAAGCTTACTCTAATAAAAACCAAAACTTGTGATATTCCGTATGTTACATGCTGTATTTAATACTGTCTCTCACACTTTTATTTTTTCTACTCTTGTTTCGTTTTGTTTCCAGAAAAGATTTTAAGGGTTTGGGGAGGGGAGTTTTGCTCATAGGCGCGGTCTTACTGCACTTGCGGAAGATCCTTTAGTCTGGTAACAAGCTGTAACTTTTCCTGATAGAGGGGAAAGTACCCATCATTCCCATCAGCCATGACTTGGGCTCTTTTTGTTGGTTGTTTTTCAATTTGTTTACTGTGTGTTCTCATCTTCAGTCTGATTGTATCCTGAATAGTGGGACTACTGCTGATGTATAACCAATGTTACTCAAACTCTGGTGTAGTAATTTAAAGTGTAAAGTTGTAACATACTGCTGTTAAAACTGTGAAACTACATGTATTCCAGTGTCTGTATTTATGCAAAAAAACCTTCTCATTTACTGTTAGATTGCTGGTATATGGAATGTCACTCATGTTATCTGCAGATGCAAAAAATAATCTCAATAATAATTTCAGTGTCCTACTTGTCTGTGTATTGTAACCTAACTCAAATAAATGATACACTACTAATTTATTCTTTTTCCACTCCTGGCTTCTAAAAGTTGGTCTTAGACTGTGTCTAATGGAACATGCGACAAGCTAGGAAACAGTTGTTGAACTAAATACCAAACCTCAGAGCAGTTATTCTTCTCATAGTGTGTATACTGGGTGATTTTAAGGAGGGTGGGGGAACCTACTCCGTACAGATTTACCTGTCATGTTTCAGTGTGCACAGAGATGAAATTCAGCAAACTAGAAAAGAGTAATTATAATTGTTTTAGCATTATACATGAGGTAGGGAACTGTATCATGTTGCAACCACTGAAATAATCAACTATAGCTCCCTTCATTCTAGTTAACACAAAAGAAAAGTGTACCTTAGTGGGAGTGAGTGAATTCCTCATGTAAAGTCCCTTCCCTGCAGGGTTGTCTTAGTGCTGTTAAGGAGAAAAATAATCAAAAGGAGAGCTCAAGGCTCTGAATAAAACAGGTTTCTGGTCTGTGGTAGCTCTGGAGTTGGGCAAAGTGATCCAATTCCCTTGCAGCTGTACTGTGCAGAGCAAGCTCCCTCTGTGCTAAACCCTGTGGCTGGCACCCGGTGCCCTCGCCAACCGCCCCAGCTGCCACCCCCAGCACCGGGGCGCTCCCGAACCGGAGCAGCACCACGGGGCAGGTCAGGCTTCAACCCCAGCGTGGGGCAAGCCCTGGCAGCTCCCTCCTGACGAGTGATCCAATTCCCTTGCAGCTGTACTGTGCAGAGCAAGCTCCCTCTGTGCTAAACCCTGTGGCTGGCACCCGGTGCCCTCGCCAACCGCCCCAGCTGCCACCCCCAGCACCGGGGCGCTCCCGAACCGGAGCAGCACCACGGGGCAGGTCAGGCTTCAACCCCAGCGTGGGGCAAGCCCTGGCAGCTCCCTCCTGACGGGTTGTTCGTGCTCGCTGGGCAGCAGCACCCCGGGGAGCGAGGGGAGCAGGAACC